GTTTTCTTTTATACTTTTCTTTCTTTTTTGCCCCACTCGCTTGTGTCCTGTTTAATAGCACCATGGCTGAACTCAGCATGGAATGAAAGAAAAAGAGGCAAACGCAAACTCTGCTCCAGAGCAAGGAGATTGGGAGTGTGTAGGGGCAAACCCTCTGGTGAAGTTTTTAAAATTTAGGTTAGGAGAAAGTCCACTCAACATCCTGAGGCAGTGAAGTTCTGCAGAATGAGTATCCAAGGACAAGAAGTGGGAGAAGAAAAGAAAACCCTGACAGTGTGGTTACCAGAAGTTCATAGAAATGTACCTCTCCTTCCCCAAAGGAAATATTGAATAAAACAATAATTGTCTTTTTATAATATATGGTTTATCACAAGGCAAATAAGGGAAATTTTTAGAGGTAAAAAAAAGGATAAAGTGAGTATCCACAGAGATAAGAAAGCTTATGTGTCAATTCCTGGTTGCCTAGAGCAAGGGTTGTAAGAAACAGTGAGTTCACCTAGAACAGGTGCAAAATGTGGGGCTGCTAGTATCCTCAGGTAATGTATTAATTAACTTTAGACTTATTAAGATAAATATGTGACGTCTAATTTCTACAGTCCCTATTGGAAGAATTAAAATAAACTGTAACTTCCAAACGGGGGTACGGGCTGGGACAGGGGAATGAGAGGAGGAGGAAAAATCAATGCAAAAGAGGCAAGAGAGAAAGAAAAAAAGAATTCTTTTAATTGAAAAATGGACAAATTGAGAGCAAAAGTTAAGATTGTATAAATGAATCCAATTTAACAATAATCACGATTTGCATAAATGGATTATAGTCTCCAGTTAAAAATCAAAGAATCTTAAACTAGATTTTGAAACTCACTTATAAACTATTCATAAGAGAAACCCCTAAGAATATCAGGACAGAGAAAGACTGAAAGTAAAATGAGGGGGAAAGGCATACTGGGGCCACACTGAATGAAGTAGGTGTGGCTACATTAAGTATTAGGAAAAGCTAGTACTAAAATGTGTAGGCTTCAGTACAAAAGCAATTACAATATAGAGAGAGGGTCACATGTAATAAAATTTCAATTTCCCAGGAAGACAGAATTCTGTATTTATATACCCCTAATAGCATAAATTTTGAAATATATAAAAAGGAAATTTCTAGAACTACAGGGAAAGGAAACATGTCCAAAATCACAGAGGGATATTTTCACACATCTCTCCCAAAATTGATGGATAGATAGACAATGAATCAGTAAGGAGTTAAAAGGTTTGAAGATCACAATTAGCAAGCTCAAGCTAATGGACACACACAGAGTCCTGAGAGCACACTCTTTTCATGTAGTGCACTTGAAACATTTATGAAAATGGATCGTATTATAGACCATGGAGCAAATCTCAGCAAAATTCAAAGAATGTGTCACTTTGTCTAATAGTTATGTTAGAAGTTAATAATTAGAATTAAGTTAGAAGTTAATAACAAAATAAAAACAAGGAAACTCCATATTTTTTGAAAATTATTGTTAAAAATATTCAAACTCATGAGTCAAAGAAAAAAATCAAACTTGAAATTAGTAAATATACATGTATACATACATATACATATATATATATATATATATATATATATATATATATAATTGAACAATCATGAAAATATTGATCAGAATAAAGCTAAAGCACAGTTAAGGGGAAGACTGTGGCCTTCCTGCTCATGCTAGAGACAAAGAAAATCTACAAAATAATAAACTGAGGATTCAACTCAAGAAATTAGGGGGAAAAAGAAGTTAGAAAAAGAAAATAAACCAAAGAAATAATGGAAATAATAAATCTAAAAACAGAAATCAATGAAAGAAACCCTACTGTATAATAGAAAGTACCTGAAAGTTGTTATCTTTTTTTTTTCCTTCAAAAAGCCAACAAAAATGATAAACATCAGGAATGAAAAAGAGACATCACTATAGGTCAGCGAACATTGGCAAAAAATAAAAACAGGATATTATTGACAATTCTTTGCTGATTATTTTGAATATTTGGTAAAACTCTTAAATTCCTAGCAAAAATGTAATTTCCAAAATTAATTCAAGAAGTACAAATCCAAACAGCCCAAATTATCATGAAAGAAATTGAATCATTAGTTAAAATTGTTACCATAATGCAAGCATGAGATTTATGTGGTTTTGTAAAAAGTTCTACGAAATAATCAAGAAATAAATAATTCTAATCTAACATTAGATTCCAGAATGTAGAGAAAGAAGGAACTTTATTTTATGAATCAGATATACACTTTTCACTACAAGCGGATAACCATAAATAGAAAAGGCGAGTTTGTAAATGTACAATTTACAATAACCCCAAAGCATATAATCGATCCAGGAAATAAAACCACCAAAATGTGCAAATTTTTGTACTATGAGATTTTTTTTAAGTTACAGAAGACTTAAGTAAATAAAAACACACATCAGTACACTATTTTTATCGATGAGAATACACAACATCCTAATAAAATGACATAGCATTCTCCCTGAATAGATACATGGATTAACACAACTCTCGGGGTTTTGTTTTTTTTTTTTTTTGGTAGAATGTTAAAATGATTCTGAAATTTATCTGGAAAAGCAAAGGTTAAGAATAACCAAAATATTCCTGAAGGAGAGGGAAGGGAAGGTGAGGGATCTTGCCCTGGCAGATGTCAAGGATTAGCAGGCGACAGCAGTGAAGATAGTGTGGCCTCGCCACAGAGGTCAGCCAGCAACCACTGCAGCAGAATTAGCCCAAAGGAGCCTTCACTTTTTTTTTTTAATAAACTTTTTTTTCTTAGTTGTAGACAGGCACAATATCTTTTATTTTATGAATTTATTTTTATGTGGTGCTGAGGATCGAACCAGGGTCTCGCACATGCTACACGAGTGCTCTGCCACTGAGCTACAACCCCAGCCCAAGGAGCACTACATATAAATAAATAAAATAAATGTTCATTGAAACCTAAAAAWTTTTTTAAAAAAAGAAGGAGCCTTCACTTTTAAGGAAACTTGATACAAGGCAAAACTAATGCTGCAGGTGATGGGCAAGGAGGATGCACTAGTTAAAAAATGTTCCTGAACACCTAAAAGGTAAAAGTAGAAGCCTACCTCGTATCCTGCACAAGAATCCATTCTAATTCTAGATAGATGGAGATCTTAAAAGTTAAAATCCAAACTTTAAAAATTTTACAAGAAAACACAGGAGAATTCTGATTCTAAGGTAGGAAAGCATTTCTTAAAGAAGACATGCAAAATGAAAATCATAAGGGAAACAATGAATTCAACTACATTGAAAATAAAAGCATTTAGTGATCAAAACACATGCTAAACAAGGGGGGGAAAGTTGAGTCACAAACAACTGGAAAATAATACATATACAAGCTTCATAACAACATAAGAGTAGCAACACAAACAGATCAAAAACATATCATATTAAAAATCAAGAAGAAACAAATAAATCAACCGAAAAATTGTCAAAAGACTGAACAGGCATTTCACAAAAGAGAAAATATAATGACCAAAAAATTCATATAATAATATGTGCTCATTCCCATTAATAATTTTTAAAAATGAGGTAATATTTTATACTCACCAAATTAGCAAAAATTACTTTGAGGATACCAAGTGCTGGAGAGGGTATGAGGCAAGAGAAGGACTCATACACTGATGGTGGAAGTGTGAATTGAAAAGGAAAATCTTTTGGAATTACATGGTAAGTTGAATACAGGCATACCCTACAGTCCAGCAATTCCACTTTTACATTTTGGCCCTAGAGAATGTTGATGGCACATATAATAATAGGTAACTGGAAAAACCTTAGTACCCAATGTCAGGAAAAGGGATAAAGACAGTGAGTAATGAAAAAGAAAAAAAGAAAGAAAAGGAAACAGTACAGCTATACATGATAATAGGTAGATTTTACATGTTCGAGTGAAAAAAAACAAGATGAAGAAATACATCTGAAGTATATGGTTCAAAAGCTGGCAATATTATAGTGCGTGTATGTGTACAGGCGTGTATGAGTGATTAGCACACACGCAGGACAGGAAGGGATCTGAAATAGGAAGTGAGGGTACAAAAAAATTGGCCTTCAAAGATACTGGAAATATTTTCCTTGTGTTGAATTATGGACATATGTGTACTTTTTATATCATCGCCCTTGGTAATATACATTTTTGTTCTCTGCACTCTTCTATATGTATGGTGTGTTTCATAATAAAACAAACTGCTGGAGGCTGAAGAATCGCAACTATCCACAAGATGGGCCTAGTAGGTTTTCAAGGATGAGCAAGACTGGAAGTTTCCCTGAGGCTTTGATTCAAGACTAAAACTAGTGAAAAGTGAGAAGAAAGCTTTTAAGTGGGGCAGAGACTCCTGCTGGTGTCCTTGGAGGTTGCTGGGTATTTCATGACTGCAGGAAGTAAACAAGTGATTTGAGGAGGAAAACTTGAGCAAAGGAGTATTGACTTTCTTTTGTATCCAGGAAGGTACATTACTTACACTCTTGCAGACACAAAGATGCTCTTTTATAAATATGAAGACTTCTGTATCAGTGACTCATACAAATGAAAGTTTATTTTCCCTCAAATGGCAGGGAGTCCAGAAGTAGGCAGGACAGAGTTCGTTGGTTGGTTAGCAGTAGTTTCTCAATCCAGACTCTGCTGTCTTTCCACCCTGCCATGTGGAGCTTGTGGGCTTTTTTGCCCCTGGCATCTCCTAACTTCTCATCTGACTTTAATGCAGCATTAGAGATGTTTTCCCAACTCTTTTGTCAGCAAAGCAAAGGTTTTCCAAGAACGCGCCCACAACCTGTCCCTCATATCCTCATAGTCAGAATGTTGTCACTTCTTGCTGCAAGAGAGCCTGGGGAAGTACTTATTTTTCCACTGCAGCTGGTATATAGGAGCAGACAAAGGGAGGGGGTAAGGGTAGCAGTGGTTTCTCAACAATCTATCAATATTCCACTCAGAATTCTTTCTCTTTTCTCCCCAGGAGCCAGTCTACGTGATGACTTGTATAAATATTTCGCCTTCCATCACTCCCGTGGAGACACCATGACCGTCATGGATCCAAAGCAGATGAACATTGCTGCCGCTGTTTGGGCTGTTGTCTCTTACGTTGTTGCAGACATGGAAGAAATGCTACCCAGGTCCTAACAACAGTGAGGACCAGGGCACTCTCATCCTTTCTAGCCAGGAATCCTGGGTCTGCAGCTTCAAGAAACTGTCCTTCGCAAAGCAGATTTATATGATTCATCTTCAGAACACAACTTTTTTATACTTTCTGTCATGCTCTGTCTTAATGCTTCCTGAAATGTTTCTAGAATAAGGAATAACCCCCATCACCACCTAGAATCGCCATATGGAAGGAATCACAGGGAGGGCATTTGTTTATGCCACCTTTTAAAAATATTATTTCTACTTTGAAAACAAATGCTGAATGAAGACCTGCAGTTTTTATGGGTTTGCTTATGAATATTAAATATAATGATCGATTGTTATGTTTATGTTTTTATTGTAAGAGTAGATGAATTACAAATTCCTCTTAAAACTTAATTGAATGTATGGATGCATTTGGCTTTCTAACTTGCACATGTTTATAGTATATGAGCTTTAAATGAGATATAGAATTTTTAAATTAGCAAGAAAGAAAGATGTCCCCATTTGGAAAAAATCAAGGATGTATAATCCAATTACCTTATTAAATCCATTATTAGATAAATAATAATGCCTATACACATGTACATTTTATATATTTCACACACTTGAAGGAAGTTATGGCTTATTTATACTTTATTGAGATTGAAGCTGAAGAAAGGGCAGATAATATCTTCATAGGGTTCTATAGAGCAAAAGCAAATGCCCTCATCTACTCTACAATCTCTACTATTCCTTCTATACAATACCAAGTATTAAATAAAGAATTACAAAATATACCCAAAAAGGTGAGAAAAAAATAAACTCATTGTCAGAAGAGAAAGCAATGACAAGAACTGCATTTAGAGGCAACCCAGGACTTTTAACTATCAGAGAGGGCATTTAACATAACTGTGATTAATATGTTAAGAATCTAGTGTGAGAAGTGGACTATGCACAAGAACAGAGAATTTCGGCAGAGAGATGAAAACTATAAAACAGAGTCAAATGCAAATACTCACATAAAAAATACAATGACATAAATTTAAGAATTTTTCTGTTGGCTCATCAGACTAGACAAGGTTGAAGAAAGAATCAGTGAAATTGAATATGGGTCAACAGAAATTATTCAAATTAAAACACTAAGAGAAAAAAAAAGAGAGGAAAAATATGCCAGAATGGATCACCTAAGAACTATAAGACAATGTCAAAAGATCTGATATACATGTAATATATTTGGATGACAAGAAGGAGTAGGAGGAGGAGGGGAAGGGAAAGGTGGGAGGAGGAGGAGAAATAATCAGTTTTGTTAGTAATATTTAAAAGAACTGAAAGACAGAGTAGGGTCTTTCATTTCTGTCAAGGTAGCAGACCAATACTCTGGCTTTTTAATACTGAAAACAGCTAAAAATGCTAGATAAAGTGAGACTGTATGAATGTGGTGATTAAAAATATGTGAAGACATGTCCCAAGAGAGATACACAGAGCATTCAACCATTTTCTCTTTGAGAAAATCTGAAGAATGGATGTGGAAAATCTAAATCTCATTTTTTTCAGACTTTTCAAGCTTGGAGAATGTAAACAAATCCCAGATCCTGCCACATTAGGGATACTAGAAAATTCCCACAAAAATGAGACCTAAAAAGATTATACCTCAATACCACAGTGAACTAAAAATAACTCTGAGGGCTTCAAGGAAAATTACCACAAGTAAATAAGTAAGTGCTGAGTAGAGGGTCCCAAGAAATTTCCATAGATACAGTTACAAAAAATATGAAGTCACAAGCAAAAGCAAAAAACAAACTGGAACCATAACATTCTGAACTTTCACTCAGAATGCAAACCAAAAATACCACAACAGAATTAACCCACAGTGTCCTCTGATAATTGGAATTTTTAGGCTGAGTGTTTTTATAAACTATTTCCATCAGGTTTAAGGAAGTAAACTAAGGGATTGAAAATAAAGAGCAAAGGATTATGAAAAAAATAGCACATTGTAAAAAGAACTAAAGAGAACTCCTAGAAATATGGAATATAGTAAGTGAAATTTTAAAATTAAGGGACCTATTTAGTGAGAAATCATGAACTGAAAGGTTATAGTTAAGACATTAATGAAAATTTACCTCAGAAAGATAAATATTTGAAAAATATGAAAGGTTAAGAATATATAATATATACATGATATATAATATAATAAAAACATATATATACACACATGTATACACATATACAAACATACACATATATAAAGGATAAACTTACATAAAGAAATAATCTTACATAAAGAAATGATAGAAAATGTCAAGAAATAGTGAAATATATCAGTCACAGAATCAAGAAACTTGATGAATGCCAGAAAGAATAAATTAAAAGATATGAAGAGATTATAGAAAGAGAAAGTATTTGAACTCAGAGAGAAGAGATGGATTGTCTTAAAAGATGCAATAATTAGACTCTTAGCTAACTTCTTAATAACACAACCAAACCAGAAGTCAGTGAAATATCAATGTGCTGATGTACAGGGGTCCCTGTTATGTTTTGAGTTCAATCTTGAATGTGTTTTTTCTTTCTTTCTTTCCCTCTCTCTCTCCTTTTTCTTCCTTCTCTTCCTCCCCTCCCAAACCACCAAGGAAAACAATATTTATGTTCTTCCCTTAATGTTCTTCCCACTCTAGGTCAGGTTATCTGTCCTTTAACTCACTGACCACAAGAATGGAGAAATCGACCCCTGGGAACTGGTACCAACAGGTCTGAGCCTTGGCTCTCTCGAGACCACCAGCTGGACATTAATTGATAATCATACTGATAATTACTGATCATCCTACTCAGAGCCTAGTCCTTGTGTTCCCCCTTTAAAAGCCCTGTTACCCTTTGAGAAGTGGATCAGCAAGCTTTGGGACCTTAGTCCACAGCCCTCCTCCTTTGCAGGAAAATTAATAGAGCGGCTTTTTAATTTTGTCTCAAAAACTTTTGTCCTTGTTCTTTGGTATGGCACCAGGGACAAGCACTGAACTTATTGGTATCACTGAGAGACAAATATCTACCTCAAAATTCTGTGGTTGCTGAAAATACTTTTCAAAATCAAGGACAAAATAAGGATATTTCCAGAGCAGAAAATTGAAGAGAATTYACCACCATCATCTTCACTCAAAGAAACCTGCCAAAGTATACTCCCAGCAAGATTCAGTGATCCTAGAGTGAACCCTAACATGGAGTACTAGCTGTCCAGGAGCCCGGGTCTCAGCCCAAGGCTTGGTGTGCTCTTTCAGGTCTGTGACCAATTACAGACCCATGGTGTGGCAGGCGTCCTGAGAAAAGACTGCGCTCCCCACTCCAGACAGTGCACCCTCACTGCAGGATGGTTTTCCAGAGGGAGTTGCAATGCTCACTTGCATATCTGGAATCTTATCCCAGATTCCTCCATGAGGCCTCCTGTTCTTATGAGGAAAACACTTTCCTCCGCTCTGACTTCATACTTTTCCACCTCTGCCTTCTTTCTCCCACTGCTCAGTTCCATATACATAAAAATACCAGAAATCTTTTGTCCAGGGCTCCTCAGCATGGAGGTGCCTCCCTACCACATCTGCATTGTTTCACCTGACCCCGCCCTGGTGACATTCTCTAGGGAGAGAAGACAGAATATCAGGTAACTGGCACCTATTTCTGCCTCTTGCTTCTGGTCAGTGAGTGACTAAGTCTTGTTACTTCCAATTTGCTCATTGTCCTAATGGACCATCTCAACCTACCAGTCTGATAGAAGTTAATAGGAAAAAAAGGTGGTAATCATTTTAAACAAATATGGGTCAAATAAAACAATGATAATGTGATATTTGAAAAGAAAACAATATGGGGACTGGGGTTGTGGCTCAGTGGTAGAGTGCTTGCCTAGCATGTGTGAGAAACTGGGTTGGATCCTCAGCAACAAATAAAAATAAATAAATAAAATAAAGCTATTGTGTCCATCTATAACTAAAAAAAAGAAATTTTTTATAAAAGGAGACACTTAACTAAAAAACATATGAATAAGAAGGAAAGTTATTGGAATTAATGGTCTAAGGTGCTTGAAATGCCCTAAAAGAGAATAAAGATATTGTCTAACTTCAGGCTTTGCTAAGTTAGATATGAATGTTAAATTTTCTAAAGTAGCCACCAAAAAAAATCAAATTAGAATGTATAACAATAGAACAACCCCCAACACATGGAATGAGAACAAAGGACTAACAAATTTGACATTGAATTCAGGGACTACGATGCCACTAATCAACTAAAAAATATTCTTACCCCAATCCATATAGGTAAAATATTGAGAAATAAGAAATGGCTAAATGCAATTAATAAGGGACTAGTAAGTAACCCATAAGACACAGAAGAAACCATTCAATGAAATTAAAACATTTACAACTGAATAATAGCACACACAAACATCTCTATATCAAAACTTGTGGGATGCAGGTAAGCAATTTGTTARAGGCATGTTTACAATTCTAAATGATAAAATAAAAGGCAAGAAAAAAAGAGAGCTAATTCAATTTAAGAAGGAAAAGGAATAGGAGGGATAGAAAGGTTTAGGCAGGAAATATGGAAACTCCTTTTGGTGCTTTGGGTAGTACCATCCGTATGGTATCCTCACAAAAGGAGACAATGATCACAAATGGAAACTTGGATTGGAAGACATCACTAAGAGATCCAGTTGAGTAGTAATTCCTGCTGCAATGGTCCCAGAGAAAGACAAGGAGCTGTTTAACTGATTAGTAGTGGTCATGTGACTTACAAAAGGGTGTCTTCCAATCCAAACCAAAGATGGTCACTTTCAGGATCCTGTTGTGTTGAAAAAAATGTGCACCCTAATTTTTCAATCAAGCAATGAGGTAAAATTACAGAAGCATTTAGTTTACAGCTAATTTTGACCCACTCCTAGTGTGTAATACTTCTGTATACTCAATGCCTGGTAAATTATGAGGCTTCATCTCCGCCTGGAGGAACAGAAAACTATTTCTGTCTTTGTGTGATGTGAGTTCCTGGTGCTATTCCTTCCATTCCTTTCAGCTGGGTCTTTCCCCAGTCTCTGATAGTTTCCTCAAATGCATGCACCAATGAGTGGTTAGCTAAAGATATGAGTCAGGTGGGCAGACCTTCTGTGGATCTCTGACATCCTTTCTCTGTGTAGCCCTAGTCTCTCCAAGACCATGTCCCGTGAACTTCAGCTACCACCACCTCCGTGGATGTTCTAGTTCCTCTCCTCACTCATGGCGGGCTCTTCCTGGGTGTTCATTCCCTGCACTGTAACTGAAAACTACCAAGGAAGTTCGTGAGGGTCATCACGGGCTCACCTCATTTTTTTACTGTCTCTGGGCATCATTTTCCTTCATTTCCTGATGTATGGTATTTTTTTAAAAATGTATTTCATTTAGTTGGTTTGATTTTAAATTGTTTTCATGCATAAACACAAGTCTGGTTCTTATTACCCTT